CTGCTCTTTATAAATGGGGATCGCATCTTCAAGTTTGTCCTCTACTTCGTCGAATAATGGTGAATAGCGATTGGTCCATGAGTTTTTCCTGAACCTGTTGTTGGAGGTCACTTTTGGGAAAAATTCTGGCATACCTCCTCTTGAGCCAGATTCCTTCAGTTTCCCGACATCCTTCTTTCATGGGGATTGTGTTCTGGTTTGAGCAGATTTTCTTGGCTCTGAAATCGTCGATGTTGTTGCCTGTCGATGTGTGTCGGAGTAGATGGTCGCGATGTCATCTCGGAGTTCCAGGATGGCCTATTGAATCGTGATTGGCCTGGACCTCTGATCCGCCTTTCACAATTGTTGAAAAAATGTCCGAATGCGCCACAAATGAAACACGCTCCGGTTCTTGACCGACAGTTAGCCGCTACATGTCCAATTCGACCGCAGTGAAAGCATTTCGAGTTCTTGCCAATCAAATGTTTCGGAACGCCCATGAAACGTCGAGTGCTCCTGCTGTCTTCTCTCCGTGTGTCACTCCTTACGTCGCCTAAGTTCCTCGATGTCTCCCGCATTCCGTTCTCATTATCCACGTTTCGATTGTAACTGAAGCCCTTATTTCCGTTGTTTTGGTTTGATTCCATCCCGGGTTGAGTTCCATGAGTGGGTCTGAAAGTTGATTTTCTTGCAGGTTTAAATTGTTGATTTCATTGATTTCTTTAAGTGTTTCATTCATTCAAAGTTTCATTTATTTCTGTAAGTGTTTCATTCATTCACAGTTTCATTTATTTACTCTCATTAACTGCGCTCGCCACACAAAGGGCGCAGCCATGCGCATGAGGGCAAGCCGCCCCCTCCCCTCCCGCCAGCGGGATTATGGTTCGCCTGAGTGGCTATTGATGGTGTGGCTTTGTAGGACCACTAAACAAGCCACTAAACAAGCCACTGGAAAAGCCACTGGACAAGCCACTGGACATAATGAAGCCAAGGAAACTATAATTTCTAACGCTTTGGAAATTGAATTTTATAGAACAGTTGTGCTGTTAGTGGTTTTGGGAGTGCATGCCGAGTTTTGGGGGTTTGTTTCTTGGTTTCCATACTTAAGTAAATTGTAGTAAATTCGTGGCATAGATTTCATTAAAATTGAGTAAACCAAATATGTAAATCAATGTTTAAACCTTGCACAAATTATTTCGGTAGTCATGAAGCATAAATTATGACGATGCCGTGACGCTGCTCGCCTCTTTATAAAACGTCATGTGTCATGCTAGCGTGTAGCTTGCGTGATGGGTCAGGTAAGCGATTCGCGTGACGGGTACTCAACCATTCTGCTGTAAGGTACTTCAGAGCAACTCCAATATTTTGATATCTACTACAACATTAAAAAACAGAGTAATTAAAGTAGACACAATCTTGCAGCAAAGTTGAAGGATTTAATAAGTGCATTCTCAGATGTATCAAGCCTTGCCTTTTGTACACACTTCAACCCTATCTTGACAGCCTGATTACCTTATCATTAGATCACAAGTGTCATATCAAACCTCAGTAGCTTTAATCCTTCCTACTCTGATCCCCGGCCAGCAATTGATGCTAGCGATTTAAACGCAGCCGTGCCTGCAAATGCTGGTAATCATTGGCTGCAATATCAGGACGAAGCTTCTCAGCTGCTGCCTCTCCTAACAATTTCATTGATGTGTCTTGGGCAAGTGCTTCGATATTAATTACGGACGTTCTTGCGCGTTACGAACTGATCTGGATCAGAAGAGTTGGACCAATGAAAGCGTTAGTCTAACGAATGCTGTCAATGATTGCAATGATTGCTGTCTTCATATGACACCGCTGAATTGAGCTCCAATAGAACGAATGGAAAAAATGAAAAAATTTCAGTGAAGATTTTATACTTCATTGAGTCTATGCTAAATATTGGCCTTGAATTCATGTACTAGTTTTCCAGCCATATTAGTCTCGCAAATTTTTTCCACATTTTTTCAAAGTGATGTTTTAACAATCTCGATGGGAAAATTTTATTGCTACCACTGACGACATTGTAAAAAGTTCAGCTCATTTTTCCATCTCGCGAATGATGATATTATCCGTTATCTTGGCCATTCAAAAATTTCTTATTTGGTGAGATCGGCGGATTTTCCGTTGGCAATTCAGGCAAGAATCGACGACTCAATTCAAGCGCTGATTTTAGCATCTGAATCGGGAATTTTTCTGCCATGCAATCGGCAGCTCGATGGTGGTTTTATCTAGAAGTCATCACGACTTTTATGTGATGGGGTCGCAAATGACGACATTCTTGCTACAATAGCAATCAAATTTTACAACGGAGAATTTTGAAACACTCCAAACAACGAGTCTTCACTCCAGCACGAATGTCGAATAGTAATAGCTTCGTTGATTGTCAGTTCCCACTGAGATGATGAACTAATCGCGATATCGATGAACATAAGTCGCGATGATGAGCTAGTTCGGTTTTACCATTAATTCATCAGTAATTAATCGAGCCTTTAAGCTTGCTACAAGAAAAATATCTTAACTTAATATCTAAGAACTATATTGAAAATAGCTTGCAATTTAAGACTTATTTAATATCCTTATTCGCTCCATTTAATGGCACCAATTTTCTGTTTTTCCCAAAAATACAGAATAAAATGTATTTCCCTAAAATACTAAAAATATACATTTACCATGAGATGTGTCCCTTTGCTGGATCGCTGCAATGATTTTACGGAATCACTGCATTTCAGAGAAGCTTGCTTCCTCATGCGATAAGGAACTAAATTCATGTAAGGTAACTTGTGTTTATTTCCGCATTCTGTGTGTTTTGCACTTTTTGTTTAGCAATGATGAACTTCCCCTTTTCTCCGAAACTTCATGGCTTTCAAGGGTATCATAAACTTAACTTAAACTTTCTAAACTTCTCCTTAGCAAGACTTGTATAATCCTACCACACTTTTATAGAACGGAAGTGCAACAATTGCACAGAGGAGCAAAATTATGCAAGCAAATTTCCTCAGCAAGCAAAGTTCAGGGCGAACAATCGAGTCGAGCATCGCACGGTTGTTGTTGTGGGATAAAGCGTATCGGTCCTCTCCATATCGGCTGTTGTTAAATAAGTACGGTGTAATAACAAATATAAGTAATAAGCCCTGGTTTTAATTAAAGTACGGTGGCAAGAACCGTAAAATTATTTCATATTTTATTAGTCAGTTCTGTGTAACATTTCCTTGGGTGAATATGGATGAGTTAATGACAAGTGATGAAACTCAATTTATGACCAGTGTAAGTATGAAGTAAATGTCCTGTTTAGTGAAATGGTAAGGACTTATAACGAGCCATACAAATTAATTGGTTAAATCTAAATTATTCCAAGAAATGATATCATTTTCTCAATAAAAAAATTCAGTTTTTGAAAAGCTAGAATCTTTTAATAAACTTAGTGGATTTTTTATTTGATTGTTATGATGTTATGTTATTTATCTTAAAAAATGACGAGAACTAATTGTTTATTTTTTTTAATCAAAACGCCTCGCACAGCAGAAGTTCTTCGTTTGAGTGACTGACGGAAGGTTTGAGGTTGGTTAACGAGGAAGCGGGTTTTGAAATGGCTAAGAAATCTGCTTGCTGAGATGATTTGTCTAAGTTTATCTATAAGTGAAGCATATATTTTAATAAGAATATATTAGTTCACAGTCTTTATATATTAAAGACTATGTAGCCAACTTGTAAAAATTGGTTGTTTGCAGGTGTGTGTAAGACTATTTTTGGTTGAAATTTAATTTTTATTGTATCGGGAAAAAATGAAGTTGTCGTTACACTTTTAGGCTCGGCCTAATGATTTATTTAACAAGGACAAGCGAAGAATGAATGGGAATAAGAGCTGTTCATAATGAGGGCTTAAACGTGTCGAGAAGTCGATCTAAACTCCTTACTCTCAATATGATGCAATAAGAACGTTTATGTGTTGTAGTTGGTCAAGATTGATCGCAACAGGATTGATAAAAAAGGCCGTCATGGCTGCTGAGTTGTTGCGTGTTGGCTCAGCGTCGCGTGCTGGGGTCGCTTGGTTATCAATCTGACCGAGCCCTTCGGGGGCGACGCGCCCCCTCCGTCACTGCTATGATGCTGGAGACACATTTAAACCAAAAGAAATCAACGCCGTCTTCATCCCTGCATTGTTCAGCCAGGTGATCTATAGGCCTACTAAGTAACACAGTAAGTATATTTTCTGGTGGAACTCTGGTGTTACTTTATCGACGAGGGATAATAACATTGAATGTTATTAAACGGGGGCTCATTTGCACGAAAAGAAATCAAAGCCGTCTTCATGAATGATCGTAAAGGCCAGTCGCATTTGCCACAGTAACTAAGTAACACAGAAAGGATCTTTTCTGGTGTACCTTTATCGACAAGGGGTAATAACATGGAATGTAACTGAGACTATTGCTGAAACTGGAGAACAAGTGTGAGACCAAGTTCAACACTATTGCTGAAACTCCTGAAAACAAACGAACAAAAATAAATATCTACCAAAAATTAAATTGAGCATGAATATCGTATTAATTATCGGTAACACGGAATTTAATTATTAGAATACTTCTCCAATATATACTCAAGATATTCACGCATGAAAAAACATAGTAACAAACTTAAGACCGAACATTCACAGTTTTTACTTTTCATATTTAGTCAAGAACTTACCGTGCACGTCAACGGCAAACACAATCCTATACTAGCATGGCAGATCCGGCTAAGGGAACGTTCAACATGTTCTAGTACAAACAAGAAAACGCCATCTGTTCATTCCCAATTAAATTATTCGATGACAAGAATCACGATCGGTCCTGCTTGATTATCGCAACGAGATCTTTGGTACGAAGTGCCCGCTCCGTCACTGACCTTGTCCTTTTGATGACAAGAGTCACGATCGTTCCAGCGAACTTTTATTTCCTCGTAATTCTGGTGCGGCTTGAAGAGGAATCGCTTCAGCCACGTTTATCACGAGACCAGTTTTAAAGGTCTGGGTCTTCAAGGTCTGGGTTTCCAAGGTCTGGGTCTTCAAGGTCTGGGTCATCAAGGTGTGGGTCTTCAAGGTGTGGGTCTTCAAGGTCTGGGCCTTCAAGGTTTGGGTCTTCAAGGTCTGAGTCTTCAAGGGGTGGGACTTCAAGGTCTGGGTCTTCAAGGTCTGGGCTCTCTTCAAGATTTGCGTCTTCAAGGTCTGGGTCATCAAGGACTGGGTCTTCAAGGTCTGGGCCTTTAAGGTCTGGGTCTTCAAGGTTTGGGTCTTCAAGGTCTGGGTCTTCAAGGTCCAGCTGGGTCTTCAAGGTCTGGGTCTTCAAGATTTGCGTCTTCAAGGTATGAGTCTTCAAGGACTGGGTCTTCAAGGGCTGGGCCTTTAAGGTCTGGGTCTTCAAGGTCTGGGTCTTCAAGGTCTGGGTCTTCAAGGACTGGGTCTTCAAGGTCTGGGTCTTCAAGGTCCAGCTGGGTCTTCAAGGTCTGGGTCTTCAAGTTCTGGGTCTTCAAGGTCTGGGTCTTCAAGGTCCAGCTGGGTCTTCAAGGTCTGGGTCTTCAAGGACTGGGTCTTCACGGTCTGGGCCTTTACGGTCTGGGTCTTTAAGGTCTGGGTCTTCAAGGACTGGGTCTTCAAGGTCAGGGTCTTCAAGGTCTGGGTCTTCAAGGACTGGGTCTTCAAGGTCTGGGCCTTTAAGGTCTGGGTCTTCAAGGTCGGGCCTTCATGGATCAAATGACGGACTGCAGACCGGCAGGAAAAGAAAGACATATCAATTACGAGAACGGCAAAGGGAAATAATAACGGTAATGTCGGACATTGATTTTGGGAAAAGCAGTCTCACGGCTGGGATTTCTTTTAACTGTTTTTAGTGTGAGAAGCTCTGCTCCACTGCACTTCCAAAATTGACGTAGTTCGGAGAGTAATGATCGTCTACGAAGATTCTTTGACGATTCGGCAGCAAATATTGGAAAATATGGCAAGCATTTTAACTCTTTCTCTGACCATCTTTGTATTATTACAAGAGCCAATAATTTTAGTCATTGTATTAATTATTATTCTCTGACATGGTATCGAATGTCTTTAATTATGTGTGCATTGCCGGTCTTCGACTCTACATACTTTTTATTATTCCTGACTTGATTTTAATAACAAAGAAACTTTTAAAAATGTGAAAAAGCAAATAATTATGCATTACCTATTTATTTTTTTAGCTGTAGAAATTGTTGAATAGCTTCCAAATATTATTTTGAAAAAAGCTTTCGATATCGTTAACTCTGAAGGCCACGTCAGAAGTTCAACAGATTTTGCTGATGTCTTATTCATGGAATAACTTTGAGAGTTAAATTTATATCAGATACCCATGCCTGAGCCTCGCATACACTGACGTGAATTATCTGAGACAGTATACAGTGCTTTTCTTCCATAGATAACGTTAGCACAATACATTTCAAACAGTAATTTTAATTGTTGTGGTAATTAACAACATTAAAAACTGAATTATTAAGGATAATTATTTATAAATAATTATGCATAATTTCTGGTGTAGGAGGCATCCAGGCGCTGGAGGCGATGCTGTTCACCCTTGACCACATCAATGAGCGGCTGCGGCTACTGCCCGACATCACCATCGGCGCCTTCATCCACGATGACTGCGACCAGGACGCACACGGTCTCGAGAAGGCCGTCGACTTCATTAAAGGTCAGATTAAACTTATATAGAACATTTCATTTATATTAAAACTCATTATAAAACTTTGTATTATCTGCCTACATCTAAGGCCATAATGACCTTTTTATAATTGAGAATAAGACTGGTTATTACCTCGCTAAGGTAGACGTTACGTCGAAGGCATTAAGTGCCTTAATTATTATAACTTATAATAACACTCTTCATAAGCTGAAGAAGTTGACGATTTATTTATGGCACTAATGGCCTTATTATACGTGATAATTAGACCTGTTATAAGCAGACTAATGTAGACCATATTGCATGTAAACGGCGCGGAAACTTTCGCGTGCTCTTTCATTTCAGAGGAAAGAATTGCGGGGCAAATTGTGCGAGTGTTTCGGATATCATCCCGGAATGCAGCGGTTGGATTGTCAATTTTAATTTTTAATTTCGCACAGCAGCAGCCACCCATAATTGAAATTAAACACGGGGCCCTCCTCACGTTATTAAATTTTCGTGCAATTTGTATGGTGTTTGTGGTATTAAATTGAGCTTATTTGAAATTAAATGCATGCTGGTGGCAGAACAATTTAATAGTCAAGACGAAATTTCCCATGTAACTGACGATATTTATTTTGCCATCGTTAGAAATTCAGAAAAAATCAGACTTCACCAACGTCCACTGTTGTTCTGTACTTCACTTTATTTTTCTGTACAACTTGATACACAACTGTACTATTCTGTGCATACTGAATTGTACAATTTTGTACTATACTTGTACGGTCCTACAAATAACTGTACCGTACTGTACTGAATATATGTACAATATTATTTACAGTGCAGTATTCTTATTGATTGATTAATAAATCCTGATTAAATTTGGAAATTCGGGATAGGTTGGAAATCAAATTGGCCTGGCAATCTTCGTAGAATCATAATAAGTGTGAATTCAAGGAATTTTGTGCGGGTTCACGGCACTTATTCGTCTGCATCAAATTCCAGTGCTTTTGCAAAGTCACACGGACCATCATTTGCCAAGTCGTTTGCGTCTATTGTTTATATTAAATTATAGTGCTTCATGAAGTGGCTCGGTCATACGTGTACTAAATTAATAATAATATTGTAATGAATTTAGGGGTTTGTTTGGAGGTCATTAAGTGAGTCATATGCTTAATTGAGGTCATAAATTACATTTAAGTTGGCACTCGAGCTGTGCTGCTGCTGCCATTGAGACACAGCATAGAAAAGTTAGAGTTTACCTCGCAATAAAATTATCCTAGAACAAATACAGAAATGTTCAGCCGCAATGGTAATTTTAATAGAATAAACATCCTGAAAATAAAAGATGTAATTAATTGCGATATTCTAAATAAAATGTACAATTTTCTTCAGAATTTTTACCCGGAAGAAAGTGAAAATATGTGCGCATATGTGATCAAAATTTGCTGACGTCGTTGAAATGCAGTAGTGCAGGGCATTCTCTTTTAACTTGTATATTTGGCAACAAAATAAGTGAACTTCTAAACTTCTTGACGCTTGTCCTTCGTTTACTCGTAATCCAAGAACTCGGTTAACTCAGCTACGAAAATTTCTGGAATAATACCTAATTTATTGTAATTAATTTCCAAATAAAATCCCCTATAATATTAATTTAAACATTCTTACTTTATGCGATGCTTTTGAAACGAATATCATATTCGTGGGCAAAAGACTTTGAAAAATTATCCATTCTTTTTAATTTCTGTTCCAAAAACTCTCTTTATTTTTTACTCTGCCATTAAGACTATTTAACCAGTTTTCGTGCAATTTGTATAGCACATTGCATGTGCTATAGGCCTAGTAATCGATCGATTCTTGACATTTCGGAAAAATTCTAGCAATAATAACTAGGTCATAATAGAAAAGGACATTCGCACGTGCAATTCATTTTATGCTAGATTGAGCCTCTATACTTATGGAAGTACATTCTTGACGAATGAAATTTTTGATTTCGTGTTTGTTCGGCAAATTTTTAGGAATATCGTCCGCAACGTGCGAGTGGAGAGGAGCCCTAACAACGACATGTAGATGGGTAGTTTTTCGCCTGCTTACTTCATTTGCGTCCAATTTGGCGCGGAAATTCAGGTGTTGCAAACTCACGTGATCCGATACAATGTAACGTATATTATTGAAAAAAATGTATAAAATAAGACTCAAATTTGAATTTCCATTTTTAGTCTTCTCTGAGCGGATTGTGTGGGATCTTTGCCTGTTTGTGCTGCAGCGCTGCAAGCCTATGCGCTTAAGATGCTAGATATTCATGCATGTAAGCCAGAAATATTGGGCGCTCGCACAATTGGCCAGATGTCACCTGCGATCGTCTGTCTGCCGAAAAAATAACATATGAAGTATGGAATTATATTTAAAATCCCCACAAGTTTTCAAATTCAATCCTTTTGCGTGACGCAGGCGAGTTCTTGAGCATACGTTGCGTTTAGAATGACTTGTAAGTGGTTTAACGAAATTTCTTTAGAGAACATGGAACTACCACCATGGTAGTTTGCATGTTAATTGAAGTGGCTTGATGCAAGAACATCATCGAGTTCTGCCTGGACACGGCCTGCAAGGCGAGCAAGTTTATCACTGTGTTTGAACCAGAATGGAATAGATAATTTACGCGCGTTCGCTTCATGTAAAGAAAGATGAACGTAATGCGCGATATGCAGATCAATGAACAGAGGTTATCTTACTGATAGGAGCCATCAGATAAGTTCACGAACGACATGTTCATCAGTTAAAGTAAATTTGAAGTACACGAATATTTCGAACTTTTGATCCGGTAAATATTAAAATATTATCCCGACTATTTCGAATTCTATGGTAGGAACATGAATAGAAAAAACTAACACTAACTCCTTCCTTGAAACCATTTATAGCATTATTTTTAAACTTTGCTTTCGGCTCGTCCACTTAATGTTAGTTGAGGAGGCTATGTCCAGAGATGACCATTGTTTACTGCATGAAGGCGGCTGCGTTTCACAAGGCCATTTGTTTTTCCTTAAGAAGAACTGATAGAGAAATTCTAGGACTCTTTCAGGACTTTAGCTTCCATCTGTGTGACTCTGAATGGAATGGTCGTTAATATAAATCATTGGTTCTGTAGTCGCCAGTATTTTTTAGGAGGCCTTGACAAAAAAAAAATACAATCACTTTGTTTCCTTCGTGATGTATCCGGCCTTAACTACACATCGGATTTCTCAATGGCACAGGAAAACATATAGAGCAACAACATTTTATTTTTTTTTTATACGTTCTATACTACGGTTTGTGTTTTTCACGTCAGGATCAATAACTTTGAGCTCCGAAAAACGTGAAAAAATAAAATCTAGCAGCATAACTTCTACTTATGATTTCCTTAATCTTAAAAAAATGCTGGCAAGCCGAATGGTGGTGGTTTTCGTTCAACTTATTTTTAAATTTATGGTAATAATGAGCGATTATTGGTAATGACTTCCACCAAGTCCCCATTATTGCTCTGAGGAATTATTTTTTCGGAATATTTAAACCCAAGCGACTGGAGCTGTTTGAGGCAAACTCAATCAATTGGTGACGAATCAATTGTTGGAAACACTTATCTTCCATAAGAGGCATTTGAAAACCTGTTATGTAACAAAATGGTGTAGAACATTGAACTTTTTTAATGCACTAAAATTTAATCGGTATTTTTTAAACGAATATTTTTTGGTGAACAATAGATAAAAAATAAATTGTGTATTGTGCAAACTTGTCGAAGCCGTAGCCCAAATTACACTAACCCACTTCATTAAAATTAGTGCAATCCTAATAACGGAATACATCATAATCATGGAAAAAATTGTTAATTAAATAACGTTTCAAATAACTAAGTTGGCCATAACTCATAAATATATTTAATTTTCGCGGCTCTGAAAAAATTTCATTCATATCACATGTAAGTAAATTCCAATTTAGTGGCTGATGAAGTTTATGGTTAAATTAACATATTTACTCCTTTAAAGACAATAACCCTCGAAACATCGTCCAAGGTAGTACCCACGCAAGCAATATCGATTAATATGTTGGAGGTGAGATAGGAATTTTA